CGGGTTTGCAGATACACAATATTATTTGGTCAGCATAAACTAGTAAGAATACGCTTTTATTGTTTTCACTTCATGTGCTAATAATTGTTAATGTTAACATAATTATTTATAGTTACTGTTTACATGGAAAAATTCGTACGAACAGACAATCAAAATTATTGACGTACGTGCCAATAATTCAAAATTACGAAACATGAATAATCAAATATGTCATTTTTTAGATCAGAAGTATAAAAAAGTCTTAAACGTATCGCACGTTAGGCTACCAGAATGTGTCATTTTCATCAATTGATCTTAAACTCTATACACATGAGTTAAGGTTTAAAATCAAATGGAAAAATTTGGCAGTTTTGTATAGCCTGATTCGATGATAACTGTACACGATGAAGAAGATTAAATAACTTGAAATAAATACACTCTAACTAAATTGAAATAAACAGACTCTAACATTACAAAAAACGTAATTATCCTCTATTGAATTGATGACCGTACATTTCGCTATATCAGTATTCGTAATGAACGTAATATATTATATTTGATCAAATTTGCATTTACAATGCTGTATTGGAAAATAATTTTAATTAAAAATGCTTAAAAAATCCACTATCCCCAGTTTCCATCTCAGAGTATCCGGATAATATTGGAGCATACGGTTCACATTCCCATATGATTAATATTTTTTTTTATTGTAGCAATCATCAAATATGTTAATATAAAAGCTGTCTGTTTGTGTATACGCGATAAATTCAAAATAGTTTTTTATTCACGAGGGTTGAGAATTTTAATTAATAATTAACCAAATCGAAATGGAGTAAGACAACTATTTGAGAATGCCGAAAGAACATGTTGACTGTGTTATATACATATAACTAACCTCAAATCGCATTATTCGCTCAGAAAATTACTATTGGCGTTATCATCAGCATAATGATTCTATAACGTCTACCAATATTATAATAGAGGATTAGAGTTGATTGTTTGTTTGCACCTCCAGGAAGTAACATCATAAGCGGGTAGCACAGGCTATAATTTACACAGGGTAAGTTGCTGGAAAACAGTTAACAAAATCGCAAGATCAAATAAAACTGGTCAAGTTTTATGAAAACTATGAAACCCAAATTAAACAATATTATCATAGGATTATATTCAATAGGTACAGACCTATTCTTATAAAGCAAAATACAATTTCAGGATATTTCCTTTCCATTTGTCGTTGTTGTATTAACAGAGAATTCTTTGGGTTGATTTTTTGAAACAAAATGAATCATGTTGAAACATAAAATTCTGCTAATAAAATATAAACTGTGAATCGGTTATTTTGTATTATTTTACTTGCAAATTGTTCGTCTTTTAAAACTGTAAAAATATGGAGGTCTTCTGAATCAAATTACAATACATTTAAATTATCAATTCATGGTTCAATTGAGGAATGCATTTATTTTTAAATTGTTGATTTTCACTTCTTTTTTTATTCTGTAAAGATTGTTATTTGTAATTTACATCTTTGATCAAACAAATTTCATACATGTAAATGATGATAGGTACATAAAATACATTGAAATTATATTTGGAATGATTTGGAGGATATTTTTTATCTAGTATAGATTTATTCAGTTTAGATTAATATTAGGAAAACAGACACCTGCCATGAATTTTCTCGGGATTGTTTATTAATACCACTCTTGACTAATATATAATTAAAATAATACCTAGCTAACAATTGATAAGTGTCAGTCACTTTTACATAAAATAAATGTTCTAATTAATTCGCTTTAAGAGAAATGGGACCTTTGGATTGCCAAATAAACAACCTTTCACCCTGTACTGACTTTACTCAGCTATTTTATTTTTAATGAAAAGATCTTTGACCCATCTTAAACAGCAATATTATTAAAATTACTCTAGGTTAACCTACTTATAAACAAATAAAAGTTATAGGTATTTTACATTATACATTTAATAAACCCTTCGCCATTTCGTTGTAGGTAAAAAAATATAGGTACTAAACGAATATGAGTACTTGGATTATCCTTTGTCTGTAGTTTCAATAGCATCGTTGCTTATACAGATGCAACTTATTAAAAAAACTTATACAATTGAACGAGAATCTGGAGTAATCGACCTCGCTGTCTGAGTAGTTTATATTCAAGTCTAAGCTTAAATCATTATTTCGCACATGACAATCAACACAAGGTAATTTTAAAAATATTTCTTTCTAAAAATAAATTTTAATCGTATTTTATGTCGTTTCTACATAAATAGGGCGTTTACTAGAATCAGACAATATTTTGTGGAAGTACATTGCTGTTAGTTGTTTTTTGTTTGTTAGGAGTTTAGGTTAGGAGTTGACTCGGTGGTTAGAATTATAAGGTCTCAACTCCGTGTCTCATGTTCCGTGAAGGGGCGAAATACGTGTAATGTGGTGTTTTTCCGATATTTGTTGCCGTGTGTACATATGAATGCAGGTCTTGCGGATACTGACTGGGTGTGGTAGTTGCTAGATATCATGGTTTCACGGTTATAAAAAGTTAATAACATAAGTTTGTCAAATATATAGTCTTTATGAGTTAATACCTACAATGTCATTAATTCAAAAATAGTTTGAAGGTCCTTTATGCGACAGTAGTCAACGCGTTCGATCTGCGATACTGAAATTAAGCAACTTTTCCAAGGACGTTATAGGATGAGTGACAAATAATTTATAATCTCGGGCACGTTAAACGTTGTGGGTATTTATTTATTTATGAAATTCTTGGAAGACTTATAGTTTTACAATGAAAAATCTTATAAAAGTATAATGAAGACAAAAAGCCAATTAAAAGTCCCCACCATTAGTAACATACTACTCTAAATATGTATTACAACAGCCTATATATTGATCGCGCACGCACACACACCAAGTCCCTAGCTTTGACAAAATCGGTAGTTAATGGTATAAAGGTATTACATGGTATTGGCCCATTCTCCCTAATCGATTTCATCCATAGGGAAGGTCTGAGAACTAGTAGTGGGGCTAATAATGATAATGATGAGACAATAAGGGTAAATAAAAGATTTCTTAATACTGAGTCTAAGGATTTAGAAAATATTTAATACAGTATTGTAAGATTACAATTTCTACGTCTTTTTAGGGTTACGTAGCAAACAATGAACCATATAGTTTCGCCATGTCCGTCTGTCTGTCCGTTCGTCCGTCCGCGACTTAGCTCAAAACTATTGGTACTAGAAAGTTGTAATTTGGTATGAGTATACACGTTAATTAAGTCGACAAGGAGGTAAAGTAAAATTTAAAGTGGGGATGATAGTTTTTTTTTGTCTTTCTAATAGTTTGTTAGATAGGTCTTTCAAAAACAATGTGGGTTTGGAAAGGCCGTTTTTCGATTTAATAAGCCGTTTGTGACTTATTAAGCTAATTTTCTTTAGAGTCAAGTGTCCTCCGTCTCTACCAATTAAACTGAAATGTTACGGCAGTAGTATCTATATATAACAAAGTCAAAACGAAAACTATCACACTTTAGTTGACTTTACAAGTTTACGAGTAATAGTCCACCAAATTGTATTTAACTCAAAAATTTCGAACAACGCTATAAAAAACAACAAGTGATTTATTTTACATTTTTTAATGGATAATGCTACGGAACCCTTCGTGCGTAAGTCTGACTCGCACATGGGCATTTTTTTAAATAACCAATTAAAATAGATTATAATTCTTTTTGGCATATTCAAATTATTATTGTATCAAATAATTTACTGTGACATAATGAGATGCTAATGAATTTTATTTAAATTCTTAAGTTTTAAAAAACAGTTCTTTAATACCAGTGTCACCCTTTTTATAAGTTAATTATAATGTAACACGGCAGTTACTGTTATACTTGCCTGAACTTCGAAGTTTTCAATTAGGGTCTTGTTCATTGCGTTAGACTAAGATAAACTTTCGGAATCAAGAAGTTACTATGTAACTGGCTGCTTGGGCATGTCGAAATTCACACTGGGAATAATAAAATCTAGAATCTGTCGGAGCTTATAAACTTATGTGACTTATTGATTGCTTGTGGTATTCTATTACTTTTGGAGAACATTACGTTAGTGAATTATTATAGTGACTAAGTCAAAATTGTCATATCATGTTGGTTATCACAATAATGATTAACGAATGCATATTTAGTTATTAAAACTTCATTGTCTAAATAAGGAGTACGATTGAATTAATACCAGTAGGAATTCTATGCAAGTCAACCGGAGAATTATGAAATAGAGAGTTTAAGAAGGCGGTGCTACAAAACAATATGGTGAATATAGATACATCTACAATTCTTAAATCGAAGTACAATTGCATATAATTATTTAAGCATCATGTAACAAATTCAATATCTATGTTACATATCATACATAGTTATATAGATATACATATACGATATAATACATAAATATATTATTCTTTTACAAGCGGTTGGGGGATTCGGAAGCTCTTCACGTAATAATAGTTTAAAAAGTTAATTTATTTGGAATAGCTTGAATAAAGGGATGGAGTTGCATTCCAGAGTCGTAGAGCTTGAAAAGCGAATTAGTTTGAAATGAAACCTGTGTGGTGAAAAGGAATAGTGAGAATTTATTTGTTGTCTGAGCGAAGGTTCCGGCTGAATGAAGCACCTAGAAACTGAAACTTACATTTCAAATATACAGGCGCACATTGATCTTTAATTATAGAATAATGAGTAGAGAGCATCCTCAGACCACAACGCTGGACTTCTAAGGTATGGGGGAGCTCATGATAATAATCTTATGGTTGTCAATCTTACTAACCAGAGGAAATTTGCTTAACCTTCGTAATCGGAGCTATTAAAAACTCCTAGATCATCATTAGCGAAGTAATTGTTTATTTTAAAACTACTACTTCTTTTTAAACGATTGACGTCACGTTTTTGTCTCGACCGAGTTATTGTCCCGTTACTTATGTCGAAATCTCAGTATTTTTATAATAAATTTATTTGTTCCAGTTGCTGATTTCACAACACAACTGTCCCAGATTTACGAACATCATTCTTCAGAGCTTCAAGTGCTTGTTGCCAATTTTAGAAAGCGAAGCAACGAACTAAGAAAGGAAAGGTAAGTTTTTATTATTTTATATAATAATAAAGATACTAAAACGCAGAAGTCATGTTTGACTCTGTCCTCGAACATGTCTCGTTATCAATTAATTAGTTTTATATGAAATGTTATAAGAACGTATTCTTTTTTATCGCAACTCTTTGTATATGAAAAATACAATTTAATTTAATATTAAACGTGATATTTTGCGTATGCGAAATAGACATAATATTAGAATTGGGGAGTTCAGAATTATATTTATGAGATCATATCGCTAACGGGCGAAACCTTTGAGTGAACTTCAATTAAATTTCACATAGGAAATTACTAGGGTGTGTTTAATTTATATTAATTGTTAAATATACTCGTATTATTTTATGATTAAATTCACCAATCTTAGCCATGGCACTCAAATTTGTAGAAATTGCCTGGACATGTACTCCACGACCAGTATAATAATTCTTCACAGCCAGAGTGAATAGACTAGACCCGTGTAAGCATATAACTTCTATCTTACCGGTCAGATAGTGGCCAAATGTTAACCCAGTCTAAGAATTAAAAAAAAAACTTTAAATATGAGTAAATTCCCAACAGCATTAAATATTTTCATACAAACATTAGACAACAGCTTACAAATCGCTCAAGTCTGAAACAACATTAAAATTTCGTTAACACAAGAGAGATACAATAGATTAGTCCATTTTCTTCACTAACCCGGCTGGAAATCGATCAGGAACCATGTTATTTAATGTAAGAAATTGCTGAAAGTACTATATATAAATATTTGATCTTATTCTATTAATTTTCTTATCGTTAAGACTTTTGCTTTTTGAAGAGAGTTAATAATTATCTCGACAAAATGTCAACTTCAATCAAATTTATGTTTGTGGAATGTGTCCACAAAAACTCAAAAGTGTCACACTTGAATTACACAAATCCATTTCCTATGCCAATCCTGAGACGGGTTCAGCCCTATAAATGTACTCGCGCTCCAGTAAGTTAAAGTAATAAGATTATCCTTCTTTGTTCGTGTCAACAAAGATGTGCTCTGATTTCATGTGCGTCGATCAACTGACTCAAATAAATGTATTCGGATAAAATGATAAGTATTATTTAGACTACGTCTTGTTTGAAGTAAAATAATGTTTGTGGACATAAGAAGCCATATGGGTCATCACCATCAAGCCTTTTAGGACCCCACTGCAGGAGCTCAGGCTTTCCTTATGCATGGGCCTTGACCGTCTAAGCTGGCCCAATGCAAATCGGAGGGTATTAACGATTGCAAATGCAGCTGGGACCAACGGCTCAGAGTATCTCGAGATAATTTTTTTTTTTTAGTCTCTCATCCCATAACCGTACATTGCGAAAATTATTTAATGACCTAACGAAAAAATCGCGGGCCGCGGCGCTTATCCACTACGCCACCGAGTTAGCTTATGGATATCTAATATTCGGTGAAATAATATAGTGTACTACACTATATTATTTATACAACTGATCTGGCTTCCTGATGTTCTTGCACCGAAAGCTAAATTCAAAACGCAGTAAATCCTAGCCAATCAGAAAAGTTCAAGTAGTGCGCTTATAGGCAATTCTGTTTTATGACACAATTCTTCTATACTATTCAATACTAGATCACAAAATAGTACATCTATCACCATTGATTTGTGGAGAAGACATTGCACTAATAACATTGGACTTCAAACATTGGTACAAAGGCAAATGCAACATTAACAGAATGCTGCTGGCTGAAAGGCCAGCTGATCCCCGTCAAGTGTGTGAGTGAGATGGAATTCTTATGACTTACGGCTATTAAAAACGTAAATAAATAAGTTACCTTAAAAGAAAATGTTTCAATATTCATTAAACCCAAGTCCTTCGATATGGGTACAAAAATGATAGAACGAAAAATTAATCAAATATAATAACAATACTAAATAGTTTAATTTTTTCTTCATCGGAATTGGGAGATTTATTTCGCGCAAGCAGACTCGCAATGCCATACATCATATAATTAGAATAGAGCTTACTGTAAATTCATGTAAGTAATTCATACAACGGCTAATTGTTCAAATTATTTTAACATATACACGGGAGAATGGCGTACTTGACGCCATTCTCCCTTCTAATTACCTCTATGAAAACAAAATGTGATGCCCGAGTGCCCTAAATAATTTACCAATTTGACTCACTCGGTTTCTTAAGCTGTTTTCTATTTTTAAAAGGTTAAGGTGTTCATCCACTGCCTCAGCAAACACCCACCGGACACACGATTCTTTCTCTACATGTTTTACTTTGCCAGAAATTTTGCGTTAATTTTTAGCGAGAACGCGTGATGAGTGAGTTATTTCTTTTCTAGGCACATATCTGTATTCATGCATCTTTCGAGTGGCTCAAAAATTCAAAAAATTGAAGAGATATATATATGTTTTATTAGAAAAAATACATAAAATCGAGTTTTCGATCCCGTCCTAAAACATGTTTCTAATTAAACAACAACCAAACACATGCCGATGTAACTTTATTACATCACCCTACGTTTAGCCCTTGTGAAATACGAACGTGATCGTATTTAAATTTAATACCATTAAAAGGGCTAACAACTTTTAAAAGTAAAATAATTATTATGCGGTTTCACCACGCTCCATCAATTTCAAGTTTGCCAAAGTTACTTACCGATATCCCTTTTCAGGCAAGTCTGTAGACATAAAAAGCCTTTCGAATTTTTTATCACGTTTGAATAAAACTTTTGTTTTTCAACGAATCATATCACAGATAACGAAATTTTAGTATTAAAATTTAAATTGTAAAAAATTATAAGAGTTTCTTAAGTCCCGTATCGAAAATAGAACTCTATTGATACACTTCTACTATTTGTTTGTTTGTCCCTTTAAATATCTATGTCAAGACTGTAGTTTTATACGTTAAAATTACCTTATTAAAAAAAATAATTAAATGCTTTTCGGCCCACCTGCGGTGTTGCTACCGAGGTTTACCATTCACGATTTATATTTACTACCTATATTTCGAAATTAATAACGTTAGCTCATGTTTTATTTTCAATGGAATTCGCAATTTTATTTCTTAAATAAAACACATTTGTTTCAGTTAGACGATTAGCTTGTAAATTCTATTTAGCTTAACGAAGTTAAAGTTTATTAATAAAATTGGCGAATGATGATCATTTAAAAAATTCTCGAGTGCATATAACCCAGACCTATTTAAAGCAAGAGTGAATAGATTCTTTCTTGGCAAGCTCGTCCCACCGTAGATCCTAATTTATGTTCTTCGGCTTAATTGAAGACAAGAGCGAGCCAATTATAAATAAATAAAATAATAGAACAAAAAAATGCAGAAACAGCGTAGTTTCCTTAGAAAATGTTTGTATGGAAATCTCAGTCCTTTTGACTCTCACCTTGTTTTTCTTTTATTTAACACTCTGCCTACTAAGGATTGTTTTAAGTTTCTTAGGTTATCTATCTTACTTAAAGTGGTAATGGAAGTAAAATACGTTCGAAGTTTGTGTTAAGCTCAGGAGAATTGAATTTACCGTGAGATTGAATTTTATTGATAGAATACAGCGAATACTCTACATCATATCTATAATTCTATATATGTTATAGTACATTTTCGTGAGTAAGTAAACGACTTATTACCTGACAAATTGAATCTTTATAATCTTATCGTCGTTTATTTACTTGTTGAAATTCTACTATATTTTTTTATTTTAAAGAATTATATACTATATAATTATATATGGATAAAGGTATATAGGTACATTACTTTTTTAGTTATATACAATAAGCTAACCTCAATTCAGATTTATTGACTTTCAGATACTACAAATAAGTCTATTTGAACGAAAGTCGCTTTGGACCAAAATTTTGAACGTAGACATTGATAGGAATTCGTAACAAGCACTTAATATCGAATTGCCCCTAAATGATGTGCCCGATAAAAATGATATTTTTAACTACACAAGTTTGTGCTTATAGCACATTAATATAAGTTGAAATTGATATATATTGAATAAGATGTATTGATATATAATGTCACTGCAATAGATGTATTCAAAAGTTAGTAATCAACGTCCATATAATTCACACAATGGTTAGAAAGTTCCGTCTGCCATTGCAGTGGTTAAAAGTCTTTTGGAATGGAGCCCGCAAACTGATTACAGTTACTTTTTTACTAATAATATAAAAAAACTGAGTGCTTACCATAGATATTGAAGAGTAACTTAAGAAGAAACTGACTACTTTTTTATAAAAAGGCAAAAGATTTTGACGAACTTTGTATATTAATAACCGGAGATTGTAGAATTTGACGGTGAATATATTATTGACACATGGTTTTATTTTTAATTATAAAAAAAACAGCCATGTATGAACTGGACTCGCGTACTGAAGGTTCCGTTCCGTACAAACCTGTAGGTATTTATTATAAATGTTTTCATTATATGATGTAACTAAAAATTTACGTTATTCGCAATTTTTCATTTATCTGTGCTATAAAATGTTGCTTCGTACCAAATTTCAAAGTCTGAATTCACGATAAAGTGCATAATCAGAGGCATAAACGGCTGTATCTTTTGAATACATTGACTTAAAAGTTTGTTTTTTTTTCACATCTCCAGGGGACAGTAGATCTGAGTATTTGATAAAATTTCAGCTAGATACCTCCACGCGTTTCTGACAAAAAGAGTCTTGATAGACGGACAACAAAATGATCATATTAGGGCTTCGATTTTTCCTTTAACAGTACGAAAACCTAAATATATATATATATATATAGGGGTAAGTGCTTTACCTTTGGACGATTTCCAAAATTTTGAATAAAATTCAATTTTGCAAAAAAGTCTTTTAATATTAACGAAAATCAAAAGCACTTTTATCTTAAGTAATAATCAGACTTTCAAAAATAATTATTATTTTTGCTTAATATACTACCATTTATGAACAATTATCACATTTTAAAAAAGTTCCAAAATGTCCAAAGGTACAGCCTAAGTTTGTACT